TGTTCATGAAACTTTTAAATCAGAATTCGATTGTGAGACACCTGAACAAGGCATATGAAAGGTCTGGTTCAACCAGTTCTGAAACACTCCATCGAAATATTCGAAAATTTTACAGGCCTGGAAGCTTTAATAATTATGGAACTCTGAACCAGGTATTCGAAAGGTTGACACGCTCGAACCTCGTGTTTTGGGGCAGATTTTGAAGGGAGATGCCTGTTGAGACAGTGAGTGGCGCCCACACGCTCACACCCTTGACGATAACCTACTTGACCACTCACACGTTTCTTGCAGACACTTTTTGCCTACCACAGACCATGGCAGCAACAAGTTGTGTGGTAATGCTATTGAAAACATGTCTGTGGTCTGATTTAAACCCATGATAAGGGCGCTGGGGTAGGAGGGCAAATAATAACTTGAAGTGAAAGTGAATTGAGGCTGTAACTTTACAGGCGCCTATCTGCCCAATGGTTTTGTCACACAAATTGTAGACGTGCAGTTCGCCAAGAGATGGCGGAGGAGTTTGCAGCATATGCTTTGTGCGGCCCGAGTATGTTTCTTTTTACAGTTTAAAATAAAATATCGGTGTTGCGAAACTCCGTCATGCCGAATGAAATGAGGAAACGTGCCGCGCTGTGTACATGAGAGCGCCGAAGTTACTGGCTGACGAATGTTGAGGTTGCCTGGCAACTCTTTGTTTTCTATCAATATTTCCGTCTCTCGCCTCACAACCATTTTATTTGATTTGGATGTACCGGTACAATATATCCTTTCTACTCCTGGCTATTACTATTCATCGAAAAAACGAGATTAGAGTATGAACTGGAATGATCATTGATAAAATCCCGTCTACTTTTATATGGAACTGTTATTTATAAGGTCAGAGATCATTTATAGCGGTACCAGACCGCCTCTGTGGTCTGGTGGTAAGAGTTGCTGGCTACAGATACAGAGGTCCGGGTTCGATTCCCGGCGCTACCAGATTTCCTGAGAAGTACTGAGTCTTGAACGGGGTCTACTCAGCCTCATGAGGATAATTGAGGAGCTACTTGAATGGCAAAGTAGCGGCTCCGGTTTAGAAAACCGAAAATAATGGCCGTGGGGATTCGTTGCGCTCACCACGTGACACCCTCTATCCGCAAAATTTGGCACAAACTTCGCCGGCAAGCGACTTTCTCCAGGTCGATGTAGTTCGCTTGCGGACTAAAGCCACGGAGTTTTTTTTTTTGTTTGTCCACTGAAGAAATTGCCGTTCTTAGGCTACGAGACACGAACAGTACGAGATGACATGGGCATTTAGATAACTCAGAGGCCTGATAGTCGTACATATTGATGGGCATAAACACGACATGGGCTACAGATAACATATACTGTTAGTGAACGCAATGTTCGTGCATGTTTATGGGCTGATGGCTTTAGACCTTTGGAATTAGCACATTTGAGCTTCTCTGTATGTTGTTATTGCCGGTCACAGTTCGTTTTAATACGCGAAACTCTTCCACTATCTTAAAAACTAGTGCTTGAGCTCCAATTTTTAATTTATCCACAGTATTTGAAGGAATTCGTTTAATTACTTTGCACATCGATTAAAATCCATTATTCACAACTAAAACACTTCTTACCTCACGTGACTGATTGATTTACGATATATCAGAATCTACATGTGATTGGGATGCCATTATTTCATGCCGATATTAATGGGTCGGCGTCGGTTCTTTAGTGTTGTGCCTCTGTTGAGGATGCGTACTTGCAGAACAAAGCCTTTAGTTCATTTAGTTTTTTTTTCCCCCCTTGGCACTATAGCCCCAGTGGGCCTAGGCCTACCTCCATGAACTTCTCCGTTTACTTCGGTTTTTCTAGATCTTACACATTCGGTAGGGCTCCTTGGGCGGGTGATCAGCTCGTCGCAAGGCCTCTACCTGTACGCAAACACAGAAAAACGCACACACACAAACTAAACATCCATGCCCTGAGTGGGATTCGATCCCCCGATCCCGGTTTCCAACCGAGCGAAGACAGTACATGCCTAAGACCGCTCGGCTACCGTGACCGGCCAGACCATTTAGTTTATGATCTAGTAATTAGCTGCCGTCACATGATTATTTCTACAGTACCTGTTCTTCCACTTGACTCAGCACTCCGGTTGGAGGACGAATCGTAGCAACTGCCACTGAGCGTGAGGCAGATTTTGCAATACCTTGAGGTGTTCCACAATCGTTTATCATCTTTAAGATTCGGGTAACCGGATCTGAGGAGGGAGTTCCGTTCCGAGTGTTTTTACACACACAAAGAAAAACAAACTCCGTGGCCTGTGGTCCGCAAGCGAAATATATCGATCGAGCGACCGCCGCTTGTCGGCGAAGTTAGTGTCAAATGTAGCGGATAGAGGGTAACGCGTGGTCAGCGCAACGAATCCCCATGGCACGTTAGCTTCGGGTTTCTAGACCGGAGCCGCTATTTCGTTGAAATAGCTCCTCAATTGTCATCACGAGGCTGAGTGGACTCCGCTCCAGACCCACTACTTCTCAGAAAAAAATGGTAACGCCGGGAATCGAACCCGGTCCTTTGGATCTGTAGTCAGGAACTGTGACCACTAGATCGCAGAGACGGTTCGTTATTTATGTAGAACATTGTTTATTGCATTAGGGTTCTTTTTGTTTGATGTTTTGCGTTATATCACGTCATGTTTTTCGGTCTACTTACGTGTGTTTGAAGGTACACGAGAAAATTACATCGTTGGGATATTTTGTCTCCTGTTAACTGGTAATTTATATTACTGTTCTGAGCTTCATCTGTAATGCAGTATTGGAATTGTTTACGCATTTTTGTTTCTGAGCGTCAACCCCATTCATTGAAGGGTAAATGTCATGATGCGGATTATGTGGATTATCGAATTTTTTAATCGTTTCAACCCCCCTTTCATCTCCTCCTATTCCTTCTCCATGACGTCACAAAATCGGATTGGAGTGGTGGAATCCTTGGAAGGGGCACTGGACCGCGCAAGGCTTCCACTAAGCTGATCTAGAAGAAGAAAACCGTGGAAAGACGTTCATGACAGAAGTGAGATTCAAACTCAAGATCGCAGTGTTGGAACAGTGTGTGACCGCTCGGGTACCAGGATCGACCATTATGAGGATTCTAATTACGTTTTATTGGCAAAGGTTTTAATGTGACAGCCTTAGGAGTACAACCGCTGTGCTGACGAGGACTGTCGACGACCCATCTGCTTGAAGAAATAAGTACACTTTGGGCTTGATAAAAATGAAATTGTATAATGAATTTGGAGGATCAGTAGCTGCAAGTATGGAGGCCAATATTTGTAATTTTTATATTTTCATCAGGTTAGTCTTGGCTGTTTAAATATGCCACATTCGTGTTCTACACTTATTTACCGATCCTCGACAAGTTTTCACGACCAGTTAGTTGTCTTTCTGTTCTTGTTTCTACGCTTCGTCTTGGGAGAGGCTGTCCAAACCGCTATGTGCCGGAGGAGTTAGATAAACGTTATTTGGTTAGGCAGCCTCTGGGTTGTGCTCACTTCCCGAAACGGAGATTATTTTCGCTTCCAAGAAGTGGCGTTTAAATATTACGAGAAATCCTTCGGGTCACATATGAATACAGCAAGGCCTCGTGTAACATCATGTTTACGTTCTTATAAACCGCGACGTTAAGCGGATCAGTTTTTATCATGAGATTCTGAAACGAGTAGGATTTGAGGTTCTCGCAGCGGTGGTTATGAAGAATTCTGTCTTCTGGGATATGGCGCCGTGTAGGATCTGAGGTTCTCACAGCGGTGGTTATGAAGAGTTCTGTCTCCTGGGATATAGCGCCGTGTAGGATCTGAGGTTCTCACAGCGGTGGTTATGAAGAGTTCTGTCTCCTGGGATATAGCGCCGTGTAGGATCTGAGGTTCTCACAGCGGTGGTTACGAAGAATTCTGTCTTCTGGGATATAGCGCTGTGTAGGATCTGAGGTTCTCACAGCGGTGATTATGAAGAGTCCTGTCTTCTGGGATATAGCGCTGTGTAGGATGTGAGGTTCTCACAGCGGTGGTTCTGATGAGTTCTGTCTTCTAGGATATAGCGTCGTGTAGGATCTGAGGTTCTCACAGCGGTGGTTCTGAAGAGTTCTGTCTTCTAGGATATAGCGTCGTGTAGGATCTGAGGTTCTCACAGCGGTGGTTCTGAAGAGTTCTGTCTTCTGGGATATAGCGTCGTGTAGGATCTGAGGTTCTCACAGCGGTGGTTCTGAAGAGTTCTGCCTTCTGGGATATAGCGCTGTGTAGGATCTCAGGTCCTCATATCGGTGGTTATGAAGAGTTCTGTGTTCTACGTTACAACACTGTGTAGTCTGTTGAAAGTCTACTGACGTTTCGGAGGAACGTGGCCCCATCCGTATTCAGGGTCGAAGAATAAACCAAGAAAATAGCATGAGTCAGGTAGCAAGCAGAGGTCTGCTGAAGATTGAGGCGACATATTCCTCCGAAACGTCGGTTGACTTTCATCGGATTATACTGTCTCACAAAGCAGAACTCTTCAAGGAGCTTACGTTTGTCAGCCTTTCTTCGCCCCAATAACATGCGTTACAATACATGTAAAGTGGTCGGGACTATTGCAAACGCTTCTACATTCGCTATAAATGCACGAAATTATGAACTACAGTAATGTTTATTTAACATTTAATGTGATATATTACGTTCATCATAGCCGGAATAGCGTAGTCGGTATAGTGAATGGGTACGGGCTGGACGGCCGAGGGGTTAGAGTTCCAGTCTCGGTAGGGTCAAGAATTTTCTTCACGTCGTCCAGACTGGCTCTGGGGTCCGCCCAACCTCCTATCCGGCGGGCTGTTTCGTCGGGGGTAAAGTGGCCGGGGCGTGAAGCTGACCAGCCACCTCCAACTAGTGCCGACATCAAGAAAATGTGGATCTATACATCTACTCCCCCATACGTCTTCATGGCGTAGTGCGAAATTAGTTAAGCACAGAGGAAACTTTATCTTACCTTTTATTGTGTTCACCGATGGCCCAAGGGAAGCGAGCGAGTGTGGAGACTGAAGCTACACGCCGGTTTTCACTGCGACACGCGGAAATCGCTGTGACGTAGTATTCCTAGTAACACTTGAACGACGACGCAGTAACCAGATAACAGGACGTTGTGTGGAGCCATTGTATGAAAACAGCATCAGCTCAGTTAAAAATCGACGTTAAGCGATGACTTACTGTATTCATTAAATGCACGTGACATTTATTTTATTTATTTATTTATTTTTATTTATTTTATTAGGCTGGACCGCCCCTATGGTCTAGAGGTCAGAGTTCCTGGCTACAGATCCAGAAGTCCGGGTTGGATTCCCGGCGTTACGTAGTGGCTCTGGAACGGGGTCCACTCAGCCTCGTGAGGATAACTGAGGAGCTATTTCAAGGCAATTGCGGCTCCGGTCAAGAAAACCGAAATTAACGGCCGTGGGGATTCGTTGCGTTGACCACGCGACACCCTCTCTCCGCTATAGTTGGCACTGACTTCGCCGACAGATAAATGAAAGCGAATTTATGCGTGCGGCTCTGTTATCAGTGTCGGGAACTACTTGCGGTCGCGGAGTGTGGCGTTTGCACTTCGCTGGCAGAACTGTGACGTAATGTTTGTCCCCAAGAAACTCAACTTCCAGGAAAGAAATCCGTGCCGGTATTGAACTAAATAATAAGAAAGTATGGCGCAGTTATGCAGTTTTCCTTCTTTGCGTTAGTATCAACTTACGAACATACAAACTTACACATTACGTTCGTAAGTTGGGGTTTGCCTGTATTGAGTTGGGAATATGAGTTGCGAACGAAATTTTGCAACTCATACCGTTCGCAAGTCGCCGGCCCCTGTATCGAAGACAACTTTACCTTCTATGATGTACCGCCGTGTAGTCCTTCACATATTCACCGGACTACACGGCGTTACAACAAAAAATAAACAAACTCCGTGGTTTTAGTCCACAAGCGAACTGTACCGACCGAGGGACCGCTGCTTGTCGGCGAAGTTAGTGTCAATTTTAGCGGATAGAGGGTGTCGCGTGGTCAGCGCAATGAATCTCCACGGACGTTAATTTCGGTTTTCTAGACCGGAGCTGCTAATTTTCCATTCAAGTAGCTCCTCAATTATCCCCATGAGGCTGAGTGGACCCCGTTCCAGACCCACAATTTTTCAGAAAAAAAAAATGGTGCCTCTGGCTATGTAGCCAGGAACTCTGACCAATAGACCACAGAGGCGGTCCGGCGATAATACTCTTCGTGCTGACGGCTGTGAGACCCCTTCCAGCTTATTGTTTATTAACTAACGCCACAGAACCCAATCCTTTTTCAGAAGTTGTCCAGCTAGCCAACAAATTCCCCAGCCTGTTATGGGACACGAAGGTTCATTACCCTCTCCACAACAGCCCACCACTGGCCCCTGTTCTGAAATAACGAATCAAGTATATACCCTCAAGCCGTGCCTTTTAATATCCATCGTAATTTTATTAGGTCTTCCTGATGTCTGCAGACGTTATATGGTTTCACTTGTCTTTTCCATGGCTTGTGACCTGTTAGAAACAGGCTGCCCCGAATTGCGTCCGCGGCGTTTTTTTTTTTCCGAACAAGTCTGTTAGAACAGGTTCCTGTTTATGGGAGGGCGCAACTAGAAGAAGCGTTGACCTGTCAGCGGTGTTGTCGCGTCTGCGGTACCGCCATGGCAACACTGATCCAAAACCTTTAATATTACACAGCTCGCTGCGCTGTGCCGTGCCTGAAGATCAGGTTTGTAGGTTGCTTCAGATGTTACGTAGCATAATCCTTTGTCAGTGTCACATGCAGGGAAGAAGTCACATAATGAAGACCCGGTAACAATCCGTGAAGGCCCATAGGGTTGTGAGACATCGAGGCTTCCACATTTTCTACACAGTCGGCTCACAGATCGCGGCAAGGTTGTCAGCCTTACGCCTGGCCGCCCTTTGCCTCCAAATAAGATCCTTGGTACTAATTTCTGTTAGAGACTGAGTCGACCCCAGGGCCACAGTGCGGCTGGAGGGATTAGGTCGACTGAAAAATCCAATGACCTTATCAGGAATTCTCTTCTGTACCCAGTTGTGTGCGCACTCGTTGAAAATCTTTGACTGGAATCAGGTTCATATACTGGCAGTTGATCAGTCTAATATCATACGCTCTTTAGGTCGCCAGCGACAGTGGTCTTTTTTTTTGTTGTTAATTAAATTTTGTGCGTAGTAATGATGACCTAAGTGTATCAGTGCGCGGTCGTCACAGGTCTCTAGAATACTGGGGTCGTGGGTCCCAGTCCCATTCAGGGCACGGCATATACCCGCATTTTTTTCTTTGTGGATATTGCCCAGTGTAGTTAGAAGTCACACTCCATCAAAGGAGCCTTGCAAACGTCTAAAAAGAATTCATAGTTCTCCTCGGGTTCATGGTAGCTATGTGCAGTCGCGTCGCACTGTTCTCAATTCATATAAGCTTATTCATCCGTATTTCATCGGCGTCGTTTTGGTTTGTACTGTAGAATGTGTTTCGCTGTTCTGTTATTTTTGGCTGTGCAAATGGATTATCCAGTTGGGATTCATATCTGCAGAAGTAATTCTGATTAGGAAGCGGCCTAATCCTTTTAAACTGAAGAAGTCTAGTTTCTTTCTTTTGGCATTTTATGAGACTGCAAGTATGTAGACTGTGTAGCGTCCGTGATAGGTTGATTAATGAACACGGAGCCGTTAGTGGACTGGAATTGGCAGGGGAAACTAAGGTACTTTGAGAAGACTTTCCCCAGTCCCATTTTGTCAACCCCAAATCTAACATGACCTGACCTGGGGTAGAACCCGATCTTCCGCTTTGGGAAACCGGAGTTAAGGGTCCTAGAATTCCAATGCAGGACTCGACAATGAAGTACGTATCCAACTGTTTTGTTCGAACAGACATCGATGGAAGCTGATGGCGGTACAGTGAACGCCTGCGATTGTTTGTTTATACGTAGCTGTATGACATGGATTTCGTAGAAAATGCCTGTCTCTCACGGCGATTTCAGTGCTTGATCATCAGAAACAAGTAACGCGTGGCTGATGGCGGGCGACAAGGTGAAATGTTCACTTCCTTCTCCTGATGTTCGTTCTATAGCTTCTGCAGCAGAACCTGTCTTCAGCGGATAATGGATTAAATGTGGACCTGCCTGCATAGAAAATGCTTCTAGCCCCATAAATACAGCGTAAAAATCATACAACAGTACTCTACAAATGTGAACTGCATAATGCGGTGACGGACAGGAGGGAGGGAAATTTCGTAGAGGAGAGACTGCTTGAGTATTTTATTTTTTTATGTATCTTCCCTTTTGTTATGCATACGGAGTTCGATTCCCGTTAGAATATGAGAGCTGTATGATTTGATTATTCCGGACTCTAAACTGTTCGCGTTTCCTGCTGTCTGGTGTACAATTATAATAATTGCCTTGGTATGAACTCCTTCTCTTTCAAGAATTTTACTTTCTGGCGTGTTCTTGTTTCAATTTTATTTGAAGTCGCGAATTCTTTTAGAATCGCTCAGGAACTGAAATGTATCTTTCTGCCGGAGGGCTCGGATACAGACAGGAACATCCGTGCCCGGAGCGGGGCTGGAGTCCGTCTTGAAACCACGCTCGACGAACGAGACAGGTGTTTTGTAATTTACGTCTTTTATATTCTTCTGCGACGGCGGTCCCAGGCCTGCGCAATTTAAGCAGCGTTTGGTGATGGGCGTGCCAGTGGAGTTCTCAGCTGAATATAGTTCAGCTTCTTATCCGTTCATGCAGTTCTAAATTTAGAAAATGTTGAAATCAAAATACGTCTTTTTACATCGTTCTTTAACAAGAAAGTCCATTATTCAAAAGATACGTAAAATTGAGATATTTGAATTTATTTTAAACATTTTTGTTCTTCGATGGAATACTCATATGTGTAACTAAGATTGTGGGTTAGATAATCCATCACTGATAAGTCTGCAGTTTTACGCGACCCTTACAGTCTCACAACCCATCTCCCCAGTCTATACCATAATGAAAGTGTTGTCCCATCTCTTTCTCGATCTTCCAAGTGGGTATTTTACAAGAGGTTTCCCCACCTAACTTCTGTGTGAATTCTCTGGTGTCTCCATCCTAGCCCAATTCTGGTAATAGTTTACTGCGTGGTGTTACAGCCTTATGTAATACTGTATGTTTTAGCGGCCTCCGTAGTCTAGAGGTAACGTTCCCACCTCATGACTCGTAGTACGCGGGTTCAAATGCCCGGCGGAGGTCGTCGAATTTTTAAGGGCGGTAAAATTCAGGGAACAAGTCCTCCGGGAGGGACTTTAAGCCGTGGGTCCCGTGTCGTAGCTTTACGTCACGTAAAAGAACCTCATATCTCCAAAGGAGGTCACTGAGCCAAATTAATGGACGTTTCCCGCCCAACAGCAGTCTCTAATACCTCTGGTAGATGGGGGAAGCATTATAGATACCTCTCAGCTAGTAGAGCCGGTCTCGCTGGCTGGGCGGGACTGATGGTAAGCACCAATACGGGTAGGATATAGAGACTGGTAGAAATCATAGAAGGAAGCACAATGGACCAATAGAGGTCTCAGTGCATGGGGAAACCCACCCTTTCCAATAACTAACTAATACTGTATGTTTTACAACATTAGATATGTAAGACCACCTGCCATAAATGAATCTCAGGGTCAGTAAGGCACATGAAGCCGGAAGGCGCAGATTTTGAACGCAGACTTCTAACAACTTTCTGATGTGTGCTGGATTAATCGGGACTGGGACCAGTGGCGGGTTCTTATGAACAAGATATTGAATCTTCAGGTTCTACAAAGGCAGGAAATTTGTTGTTAGCTTCTCAACATGATCCCTGGTCCTTGGAGTTAGTTCCAGGAGATCCACATTCGAGGCGAGTATCCTCTCATGCGACTGGAGACCCTGAAAAATATTCTTTCTGTTTCTTCCCTCTTCAAAAAAATCGACACGAATTTTAGTTGAAAAGTGTCATGTTGAGGTTTTTTATTTTATTTTGCATGTTTTATTAACGAAGATACTCCTGTATACAGGTCGATGAACCTTTCTCCAGGCTTCTTGAATGTTTTGTTGGGCAATAATTGCGTCTGCAAGAAACCGGCTTAGCAACTACGGATGTGGAGAACAGGGCTGAGTAGACATGGCAAATGCTACATTCAAATTATCTATAACGCCCCGGTACACTTCTATAGTTAATTTGGTAGATGATAATAAATAGGTATAAAACACAGTT